ATGCATACATGCATATAGTTGGGTTTGCATAGTAGACGAGTGGCTACTTTCTCTTTGCCGTAGAAGGTCCCCCTTTTTTCCACTTACTTCAGATAACCCTAATAGAAAAAAGAATCCCATTTTAGTCCCTAACTCCAAATCCCAATTTAGTCCCAAATCCTAAATCCCGAAAACTTGCCAAAACGGGTCAAAACAGGGACATGGGATTCCACCGAGGTATTACACCCAATCCCTTCGGAATCCCATTTGGAATCCCGTGGCCATGTTGTCCACGGGAACTGATAGAGCCTACCTACAAGTTTGCTTCTAACGATATGTATATATACATATTGTACAGATGTAGAGTACTTCCCGGCCATGTGAGCTCGCCTGACATGTTAAAAATGACCTAAGAAGCTTCCTTCACCATTTTCTAAATTCGCCCTGAAACGGCGTATCGCGGGGAAAAGGGAGTTCAGAGGGATTTCAGGAAAAAGGGATTTCAGAGGGATTTTCGAAAGTTCCAAATCCTCTTTTAGTCCCTTTAAACAAGAGGGAGTTTGTTGGTACTAAAATGGGACCGATTTGGGTGTTTCGCTTCTATTAGGGAAATGAATTACTGTTGGCAGACTTCTTCGCATTGTAGGCGTTTCTCTCTGGCGGCAGAACGTCAATCAAACACTGCAACCGTCCCAGTCCGCCCGTTCGATTTGTTTGCTTTTGAGTTCTCTTTGAGTCCCCCCCCCCTCTCTCCACCAACCCGCCGTTCCCAGGCCGTACTCCTTTCCAGGGCGCGGGACGAGCCGGGAGGGCACGCTGAGGGAGGCGGCAGAGAAGGGGGCGGTCTTCAAATCAGGTTTTTTGTTTCCGTGCCGCCCGAGAGCCGTCAGTATTTGCGTTGACTCAATCTCTCTCTGTTTTCCTTTTCTCTCGTTTTCTCCAATACCCGTTTCCCACTTCTCTCTCGGGCCGCCGCTTCACTCGCCCCTCGACTAAAGAAAAGATTAATTATCTGTCCGATACAGCGCAGTTCAGTCGCAACGAGCTTATGAAGTACCTCTTTTGCATGGACTGGGGGGTTAAATGCGATCGCAAAACAAGCCCCCCGAACGCAGTGTGTATCACCTACACGTGTGTGTGTGTGTGTGTGAGCGCTCAAGGCCACGCAAGGTGCACACGAGGGTACAGCACGCCACACATAAGCCCCTTCATTCCCCGCAGCCATTGTGATCCAGTCGCCCTATTACTCCCAACACGACCGCGCAGGGCGCAGGGAGGCCGCGCCACGCCACGCCACGCCGCGCCACGCCACGCCACGCCGCGCCACGCCACGCCACGCCGGCCCACGAGGCAGAGATGAAGTGCGCGCGGGGAAGGCGCGACTGCGCAACAGCAGGCCGCGGCGCCGCTAAATTGCCAATCCATTTCGCATATAGTCACGCGGGCGCAGGCAGACCGGCAGACCTAGGCTGTGCTGGTTGTGCTAGCTGTGCAGGCTGAGCTGGTTGCGGAGGTTGTGCTGGTTGTGATGGCTGTGCATGCTGGCTACGGGGCACACAGTTCAGCCGACGCAAGCGCCGCAAGCTCTCGTTTCTCGTAGCGCCTGGCGGGTAGGCAACATCCTGCGTGCAGCGCATTGGTGTACACCGGGATGGCCTACCCTGGGTCTCGCAGGCGCCGACTTGCCGCATTTTCCGAGGATGAATCTGAGGATAAAAGAGACGTACTTTCCTGAAGGACCCTACAGGCAAGAAGGTTGCGTGTGGAAGGAGCGCTGCCGGTGTGGTGCCGGGGCCGGCCGGGACTGTGGTGCGCCCAGCAGCGGCAACTTGGTGTCCATCAGCAGCGGCCAGCAGCGGCCAGCAGCGGCCAGCCACTCCACTCGGCGCTATGGCAGTCCAGGCGCGGTCGCGACCGGGGGGCAGATTTACGATCACACGACAAATTGGAGAGCGCCAGGCCAGGCTGCCGGCCGCGGGGAGTGAGGAGTGGGGAGAGGCGGGAGGGTGAGACTGGCGGCGCCTGCCAGGGGGTGAAGGTCAGCCTAATGGTCGTGGCAATGAAGGCGGTGTCGCGGGACGGGGCGCGGCGGGGGCCGGCCAGGTGTCGTACCTCAACCCCCCCCCCCTCTCCCCAACACAAACGCTTCCGGGCCTGGGGTCACACGGACGGACGCGCGCGTACACACACACGCACGCAGCCCAACAAAGCGGATAGCGCTTCCGGACTGCACCAAGCTCCCCCCCGTCCCCTTTTCACCCCGTCGGCCTCCCCTTCCCCCAACTTGTGCCGTTCGCACCGCTCAGTCAGTCGCCATCCAAACAAACCCCGACGCCCCGCCTTTTGCGCCCGTCGTGTGCGCCACGCCGCATACACACACTAAACCCTTTTATGAATTTCGTTGTGCATAATGAACGTGCGCAGAATTT